AACCCCACGCACCAGCGCACTAGTTTCTCCAGCCACATTTTTGCCTTGGGCACAAAAATATCCTTCAGCGAGCTCAGGTAGAGGAATAGACGACAACACTCAGAGAGGTGCAGATTCATTTTTGTAAAAACAAGTAGCCATGTGTAGCAACCAAATGAAAGACAAATTTTTGAAAAGTTTCCAGGTTCAGTGTTGGAGAATTCCAGCATGCTGGAGTCCTTTGCCTTAGTTCAACTTGACAGCAAAATTTATAATATATTCACATTATTTTCAGTTAATGTCACTGCAAATTACTTATCTGAGCTTAATACAATCATGGATACCCTAGTACATATTGTAAAGCTTGCCACAGTAAAATACTGTTACATGTACATTAGTAATATGAAGGTTTTCAATATTGCTGTCACTCGGCAGGTGTCCATCCAACATTCTTTTCAAAAATGAAATGGCAATAAAGTAATCACAGGTTGATACAAGCCATGGAACATCTTCCAGAAAATGACTGAGTGACCCAGCATCCACTGGCATGTTGAAAGTGACTCAATGTCACACAGAAAATACCCCAGTCAAAAGTGTTGGATCACATCTGAATGTGACCTATGTGACAGAAACCATACTCAAGTGTTTTTCATATATGCATTTCTCAGTAAAAAAAAATCCCTAAAGCAAAAAACCTAAACAAAGAAAAGCACAGCGTGTCAAAAGTAATAATAATAATAATCATAACAATATGCAATTCTCATAAAGCACATAATACAATGAAGTCTCTATGCGCTGGAGAGAGTGAATGGGTGTGTTTTAAGTTGAAGTTTAAATTGTTCTAAAAAGGGGCAGATCTTAATGTGCTGTGGAAGAATTTTCCATAGTTCCAGTGCAGCAAATCGGAAGGCAGGTTGACCATATGATTTGGTAAGAATTGGGTGTGGAGTGAGAAGATCTTTATTGCTGGAGCAAAGCGTCCTTGGCAGATGATATTTTGCCAATTTACGCATGGAGATAAACTGGGGCTGTTTTAAGTATGCATTTGTAAATCAAGACCAAAATTTTACAAGTTATCCAGAATTTATCTGGTAGCCAATGAAGCTGTCATAAAACAGGAGAGATAGGTTAAAGTTTAAAGTCTAAGGTGTGCAAACAAAGGCACAGAATTAAAAAAGAAAATTCCAGACTCATTTCTGATGAATGACTTCAGTCGTTTGCTGCTTTTTATATGATTCACCAGAGGACACATCATGAGACAACGAACTTTCTTTTCTTAAAATTTTTGTTATTTCGACAATTGAAAAGAAGAGAGAAGCTTGGAATCTAGGGAATAGACAATCACAAGAGAGTTGGAAGCAGAGGGAAGGCATTAATTAGCTGTAATTGTCCAGGAAATTCAATTTTTGCAATTCAATCCAGATGCATTTCCCTGGTGCTCACAATGCAGTCCATTTGTGGAAGGGTAAACAATGGACGAGAAGTTTCCGTTCTCGTCACCACTTCGGCTGCTCTGATCCATTAGATCAGCACTTGCCTTCCACTTTTAGTGACCATGGTTTAAATCCCATTGTAGTACAATGCATGTGAATGTCAGTCCCTCGTTGTTTAAAAGGCAATTCCAAGGCAGCAAAAGTTTCTGGGGCTTTCCAACCGCAAGCCGGAATGGCATTTCCTTTCATGTTGTGCGTTATTCTTCTTGACTGGCCACAGATCTCTACAGAGACTAATTTTGGGGGGTTCCAGGCTCACCAGCGTAAACAAATAAAGCACCAGTTATAATACCTACAGGCTCCCTTGTTTACCACAACATTCCCACAATTAAGACAGTATTTCCTCATTTAGCAACTTTCCAAGTTGATGAACTACAGGCAACTGATCACTGTGAATCAGTCAGATGCTTCATTACCAAGAAAGCATACTGTGCCACCAACCATTTGCACAGTAATGGGGCTTTGATGGTTTTTCTGAGCAAGACATGGTGCCACGCCTCCACCACAGGGGTCTCTCCACAAGTATCAAATGATCAAGTGTCCAACTTCAGTTTATAAACTACTGCAATTTATCCCTTCCCCCATTTTCAAGTGAAAAGAGCTGCCCCCAAAAGTTACTACAGTGCCTCACTGCGCACCCCTAGTCTGATCACATACATACATGTTCCTGTGGGGTGAGACTGACAGCCCTGTGGCAGATTCTACAAGGGATAAACCCGTCACTGGGAGGAACGTGACATGTGTTACATCGAGTGGGACATGATGAAGGGCAAAGGGAAATTCGGAGAGCCACCCTCCCCCTTGATGGGTGGAGCAGGTGCCGTTGCTCTTCAGGCAAAAGGGACTAACAATGGGGTAATTGGCTAAACTGCACCAGATATGGTCCTACCCACTTTTACGGAGCTGGTTAAATTCAGGTGTTCAGGACCTGTAAACATTTTCTGATTTTTTTTTTTTTTTTCGTTTTTGGTTAATTCTTTTTCTTCTGTTGGGAGCTGATGTATTAAAAGTTGGAATCATGACTGCAAACCTTGTAAATGCACTTGTTGGTTGGACAGGAAATGAAGGAAGTTCTGTCACTGTCAAGTAGTTACACTATAATTAAGTAATTTTTTGTTTCATTTGATGAGACAAGACTAGACCCTGATCATTCACTCAGGCTATGGACAGATCTGCTGAGGAAATCATAATTATTACTAAGGAAATCTGTACTGTAAGGCTTTACACTCCCTCCAAAAGCAAAGTGTTAGTCAGAAGCAATCAGGAAATACTGGGGGGTTTCCAAATCTAAGCTTTTCTCCGTCTAGGGCTGCATTCTTGACATCAAAACCACCTGTAGGCCCACAATGTCTGCACCAAAAATATTTCCATCTCTACGACATGCAGATTGATACTCCTCTACTAAAACACACTTGTAATTGATCCAAGACTTCCACTGAAGGGATAAAGAATAAGGACAAAACCAGCTATAAAGACAAAGCCCGGGGGCCAATTTCACAGAGCTGCTTAAGAACAAAAAACTTTGCTTAAAAAACAAAACTTCCAAATCAATATACATCACTTGGCCTGTAGGCTGTAGCCTGATTTATCAAGCAAAATGCTTTCACACTTGAACAAATGTTGTGCTTAAGCAGCTCTATGAGACTGGCTCCAGATTTGATGCCCCCCCCACCATGATGCAACATTTTCATTCATGACCTTTCTTGGCTCCGTTGAACAGTTATGTTCACGGCTCAAGAAAGATTGTTGTAACTAGAAGCTGCACAAGCAATCCAAGAATGTCACGTAATGTGTATTCCGATCAACACATGCACCATTTGGATCAAAACCCCAGGGGTTCACGCACTTGGCACGCCCATTAAGCTATTTGAACGATTGTAAGGGCATAACCAATTGATGGTGGCCCTCAATTTCCACTTGAGTTAGTTTTCCTTAAGTCAACACAGAGTTGAAAGCAAACAAGGAGTCTAATTTTGGTGATACCCACACACACAGGATGGGGGACTGTCAACCGCCAACTGCGCAGGGTGCTGCATCTGTTGCATTAGTAATGACAAACTGTTGCACGTAGCGTTGCGTGCAACAGCAGAGAGCCTGTCGACAGATGAAGGACCCAGTACCCAGAAACCAGCATTTCCTGAAAGTCTCTTGTTGACAATTGCCCACTTGTGGAAAACAACTGTTCTAATCCTGAGAAAATTACAGCATCCAGTGTTGACGTATGAACCCCTGTGTACATTCAAAGAAATGTTGTCAACAGCCGAACTTCTTCACTGCTGAAATAAGCACATATCCTTTTAACAAGCAGACTCTTAACTCCACTTTCATCGCAGACGTTAAATCCCCAAAATTCCTGGCATATGACAGTTGGCAAAGTTAAAGAAGTGAATATCCCTTGAAGCTAAGAAAGTTGTCTTCAAATCAAAGCTTCGAGTAAGGGAAATTATTTAATAAAACAGTGTTTTTTTAATTTGCATACATTCTTAGATTACCCTAAGTGGATTAAAGATCTGACACACAACACTTGACATGGTTATATTTATCGTTAAATCAAGGTTTCATGGATAAAAAAAACTGCCGAAGGAAAATTCCTAATGATGATTACAGTATTCCATTTGAAACTTTGACATTAAAACAACGCTTACCACAGAAAATAAATCTGACCACGAGCCTATTCAATGGTCATCTCAACTTTTTTTGTTCAGAGTTCAAATAAACCTACCTTGTTCTTAGACCCTCTGGAGAATTTGCTTGTTCTCTTTGGCCATTTGACAAACATTACAAACAAATTAAAGGCCATGACTGCAACCAAATTCTTGATGCTTGGTTCTTCTTGAATCCAGTTCCTTGCACAGGAAATGCTCCGTCCTTGTTGACCAAACTTTGCAAAAGGATCGAGTGTAACTACAACACACCCAACCTCAGGCCACTGACCTAAATCAGTTTACCATCAATTGACGGTGACTTCCTAAGATGCAAATGAGTTGCCTGATTGGCCAAGAAGCTGTAGTCAAGGGGAACGAGTGATTGGCGGACGACTCAGTTGAGATTGCATCATCTTGCTGTGGCAGTGACTTTTGGATACAAGTATGCAAAACAGCACACGCGTGGGCAGTTCAAAGATTGAATCTGCAAGAAGCTGACAGATGAGGTATCCCTGGCACTTGATTGGTTAGCTTTACCCTCTCCTATAGTGAAAGGCTAGTGTAACCTTGAGATGTGAATATTCATGACTTGATTGTTCACAAGTGCAACAGACCGACCAGATTTGTCCGTTGCAGCTCAGCCTGCGTGAAATTGGAGTGACTACAGAAATTGGCTATAAAATGTAAGCAGTTAGACAGTCTCTGCTTCAACTTGCAGTAATTTGATTGGCAGATGAGTCACTTAAACTCCGTGATTGGCTAGGGCCTCCTGGGTTAGCATGCAGGTCCCTAGACTTCATCAGGAGCTGATTTGCATATTTATGAGTCACCACAATGTTATATTAACTCCAACTGATCTTAAGCACATATCCTGTTAGTTTTTTCAGTCACACTGACCCCAGAGGAACTTATCAGATGCTTTATTTGTTAACTTTAAGAGCTCAAAAACTTGACAAGGTCACTCAAATGGCCTTTATGGATGCCAAACCAAAATCGGGCAGCAAGACATTCTATCACTGTACACAGCCAACCGTTGTACATTGGGAGTCAGTTCCGCCACAGCAGCTCGCTGCTGGACACCGTCTGCAGCTCCTGTGTTTCACTTGAAAAATTAGAGTGTTGCAGGAAGTGATTAGGACATAAAGTAACCCACTGTACCGTTATCCACTGTACCGGTATATCAAAGCAACTGTAAGTAGGCTATACATGCCCCAAAACAGCTCTGCTGTGGAGAAATTCACAGGAAGATTTGCTGATGTGCAAAGCAGCAGAAAAAAAATGTTTGTTTGAATGATACCCTCTGCTGAGTCTTGAATAAGATGTAGGTCAGTATACATGTAAATGTAGGTCATTAGAAACAATTCTCCAAAAAAAGTCTTCTTTCTTTCACTTTTTCCCTGTCCTTTTTTTTCCCTTCTGTTGTTGCTTTCATTCCAGATTTTTGTCCGTGGACGTACACCACAGGACAGGAGACAGTCCCAGAGGATGGCTTGTCAATAGGGTGACAGTAACTTGCTGGAAGTTGAGGAAAATGACACAATTTGAAATTCCTGGAGAATATTGAAGCCACAGGAAATCGCACCTGATCATAAGTGGTGACAAATCCACAGCATTCGCCTGAAGGTGCGCCGAGGTGCCCTCTACGTGGGCCCATTTTAGGGGGGGCGGACAGACTGCTAATGACACTCCCTTCCCCGTCACATCACTGCCTCTGCCTGTCTTTGTAATTTGGGACTTTTCTCCTTTTTCGCAGAAAGGGGGGGTGTCAAAACTGATCCAAACTGTCCTGGAACAATTAGCACCGTCCCTGCACACTTCCCACCCATCACTAAAGAGAATCCTGACATGCAACAACTAGATGCAGGCACAAGACATGCACAAACTCTGTCATGTTATCCACAATCAACAAAGGGCACATGAGCTCTGAGCCTCCATGAACTGACAGTCCCAACTGTGAGGCATATCGTCATCTTCTGATAACCCGTTGACTCACAAAGTACATGCTCCTTTTACTTCTTCGACTATGCATCAACAACATGTGGGGTTGTTTGGGGCAGTCCTTTGAATATACATGTAATTGAAGAAGTTTTTGATAATATGAGCCAAACAATCCACCTTTTTTAATCTCTAAACTTTTGGGGCGTCACTTGAACTCTGATTTATCATTGTTTTGAGTCAACTGAACACAATTTCTCATTTCTTTACAGTAAGAAATCTTTCTTCTGCGACTGTCTTTAAAGGCAATGTTGGGTGTGCAAAGGAAGAGGGGATTTATTCACCAGTCGTGATTAAAATGACTACTCCTAACATAGTGAAGTTTGGAATTTAATCTCAGTGTTGCACAGCTTCACCCGAAATCTGCAGTGGAAAGTTTTCGTCAGCAGAGGGAAAGAGGTCTCAGACAACAACAACAACAAAATTTCCAGCGTCAAAAGAATGGCAAACAATACCTTAACGCATCGGTGGTAACTCTTAAACATCCCCATGGCTGCTTCCTGGTACTGCTTCTCAAGCATGTCATGCTGAAACTGGAGACGACTATTTGGGGGGAAAATGGGGAATTAAAAATGTTAGCAAACATATATTCCTTGAGTCTGTACTACCACTGAATTTCAGCATTGATAGTGATGGAGTCTCAATGCTGTTCTTTTTCTTGATCAAAATAGCTCAATATACATGTATTTCTGTAACCTGTTATGTACCGGTAATATACCGGTAAAATGCCATTTCATATTTTTGTTCGGTTTCTGTTATTGAGGAATCTGTTGTGACTCATGTAAAGAAATTAAAACTTTTCACATAAGTTGGGTCAGTGAAGTTCACTGGAAACAAAGTCTTATCAACTTATATTGTTAGAGCCTACCGGTAGATACGTACCTGATAAGAGCTTTCTGTTTCTCAAACTCTCTTTGCTGAAAAATGAATAAAACAATCAATCAATGATTGCCTTGTATAAAGATACAAGATTGCATAATGTCGACTAAGAGAATTGAATTGTTTGCTGTTATTTGAAATGTCAAGGTTAGACGCAATTTCCAGAAACACAGATTGTCACAAGATGTATTCTCTGTCAATGTTGCAACTGGTATTGACATGACAAAGAGCTTGACAGTGAAAGTAGAACAATTTATATTTACATGATGTATCTAGAAAAAAAATTGCATTGATTTGTTGACATTTCTCCAGATTTCAAATACTTTCACCTTCGCTTTACAACTTTGAGGACAGCACACTCTCACACAGTTTCACCCAATCTGCTTTTCATTTGCACAGATAGCCAGAGCTCAAAAAACCTGATCACTGATGAGTTGTAATGTGATCTGCAAAAACCTTCATATGGTGCGCTTTGTCATTTGGCTGCATATAAACTTTCAAATTAATATGGCCACATGGTTGTTTTCAGATATACTAGAATTACATTTATGATTCTAGGTTGTCTACAACACAAATCTAGGGTGCCAAGAATCACGAATTAAACAGTTTTGAAAACAGGACTGTGTTCAGATCAATTTGAAGTTGACATGCACCAAAATAGAGAAGCTCACCGTTTGAAGGGTCTTCGCAAATCATATCACAATTAGTTTCACATTCATAGTGTGTTATGTTGAATTTGTACATTTTACAATAAGAGTTGAATGCAAAGGAAAAACCACATGGCTAACAGTCCTAAGCTGCATCCTTGTCTGTTGTCTAGGGCTACGGCTAGGTCTGCAACCCTTAGAAATAGGCATGCTGACAATGGACGTACCAATAGCCACGAGTGTCAATAGCTTTTCAAGAGTGAGGGGACATAACCTTAATTAGAACCAATGCAAGCGTGAAGCATGAATCCCTGACAGCATGGGTTCCGGGGCCCACTCAAGGGTCCAGGGCCCTTGATCAGGCCCTGGGAAATTTTGGATTCTAGATGTTTTGTGGTGCAATCTGAGGCAATTTTTAACCACTTGAACAAATTCTTTAGCAAATGCTTTTCCAAATTTATTTCATTTTAAAATCATTTTATCTGAAATATGGATCAAATGTAGGCCTACTCCCCCTACATTTTTTATTTGGTGTCCAGGAACAAAGTGGAGGGGACAATTGATATATCCCCCTGAGTTGGGGGGCATGTCTCCCCATCACCCACAAACTGATGCTCCCTGAAAGACCTTTTCCCACCTAGCCTTAGCCTTTGAAATCAGAGGCTAAAATTCTTTAAGGGGCTTTAACTCAGGCTTGACATAGAACTGGGTCGGTCCAATCGGTAGGGGTGAAGTTTCACAATTCTTTCCTTTTTTTTTCTTTATTCTCTTTTCCCAATCAGGGGATGCTTTGCTCCATCCAATCTGAGCTGTGAGTATTCCACATGCTGGGATTAATTTGCACAGGATGTATTACAAGTTGTTACAATAATAGAAGCCATGTGTATGCGAGGGGCAGAGGACTTGGGGTCACGGGATGGGTGCGTCACATGCACTTTCAGTTCGAGAAACTGGGTGCTGGGGGTTAATTCGGTCGGACAGCGACAGTCGAGTTGTGGTGACTGCGTTGACGGTGTGAGTGATCCAGGCTACCCCACCCTTCCTGCCACAGACCCTGGACGGTCATCGAGAGTGTAGGTGGGGAGGAGTTTGGGCGACAGCTAGGGGAGGCTGGAGTAGACGGGGCAGGAGAGGGAGTTGGGAGAAAGGTATTATTGGGCGTACGGGCTGTTGACAGAATCATTTCTGGTAACAATTGACTGGAATTTCCTTTGGTGAAATGATCAAGTCAACAGCTGAAGAAATAAGGCTAGTGTTTAACCACTTCATG